TTGAGATTGATGCCGATACAGTCATGATTTCACCCTCAGTCCACACGCAGGGACTTAAATATATGGTCTGATTTAAACCTACCATGAGCCTCCAGTGACTTCAGCTGGAGTCGTCCTGTGGCCTCGATAGATGGGTGAAGTTTCTGGAGCAACGAAGAACTGAGGAGAGAGGCTGAAATCTCCAACTCACAAGCATGAAGGTTCAAAACAACCAGGATCACCATTTGTTTTCAGGGAGAAATAAGGAGTGGTTGTTCTGCCAAAGGCACACACCTAAGGGACGTAATGAGGCTTCCTGAGGTAATGGAGTGCCTCAGAGTGTAGCAGACTGTCTCTGGCACCATCCCCCATCTGGACCCTCCCACCTCCCATGAGCAACCCCCTTCCAGCTTCATGGCAACCTGAGCAGCTTCCATGGAAACACAGAAAAGGAAAGGTGTGCCTGGGCTGATTACGAGCTGCAGTGTGGGAAAGCTTTGTGTCCTTTGGAGGAAGACTTACTATGACTCCTTTTGGTCTACATGGCCTCTCTTCCTCTCACTGGGCCTTTCCCTCTCTCCCTCCCTGCACAGGCTGAGCTGCTGCCGGGGCTCCCTCCCCCCCAGAAAGGCAGGTCAGGCTGATCTCCCTCTTTTCCCCAGCGCAGGCAGACACTTCTTTTACGTAGCGTGAGGAGGTATTTCTGTGAGCTCTCGCTTTGGGGCCTGGCTTTGGTCCTGCGTGAGGGTCCTGTGTGGCAGGGCTGGATGTTGTGGGAGTGGGGATTGACATGGACAGGGATGGGGCCTTCATTCTCTGGGGTTGTGGTGCTGGCGGGATTGTGGGAGTAAGTAGAAGACCGACATGGACAGGGATGGGACCTTCGTGCTCCAGGGCTTGTGGTGCTGGCAGGGATGTGCGGGTAAGCAGAGGACCGACATGGACAGATGAACAGCACTGTAGGTTGAGGGAGAAGGCAGGGGATGTACATATTGGAGGTTGAGGCAAGCAGGCCGTGCTGGGGGTGATGGGCACAGGGAGTGGGATGGAAAGGGACAGATAGCCAGAGGAGCTGGAAATAAATGTTTCTTTCTTGATCGTTGCTCCTCGGTTGGTTCTTTCTCCCATCGCACTCTGACTCCTTGTCTGTACTCTTCTTCCCCATCCCAGGCTGCTCTGATTCCCACAGCCCACTGGTCCCCGGTATCGTCTCCAAAACTCCCCACCATCGCGAGCTCCCACAACCTCCCAGCTGCCCCTTGCTCACCCCAGATTTTCCTCAATGGGGGAGAATGCCTCCTCGCTCACCGGCTTGATTGGCTGGCGCAAGGGTGGGGGGAGATCAGTGATTGTTTTTCACACTTGGCAGATCCCAAACAGTGTCTGGCTCGTGCCATGGCACATGCACTACTGCTCTAGTGACCCCTGTATACTCCGTGTGTGGCTTCAGGCTCTCCTACACAGGAAGAACCGGCCAGCTGAGGAGTTTGCAAAAGTCGACGCGGACAGCCCAGGGAGTCTGACGGACGTGCTGGGATCCTGGGCAAGGTTTAGGGGCGGCTCTGCGATCCGGTAAGGACGGGCCTTGGGCAGGAGGAGCAGGGGTGGGGACAGCCAGCTCTCAGCACCACCTGGAGCACGCCGCACTGCTGTCCCCAATCCCAGTCAGCCCTGGGCACACCATCCTGTGCTCCATTTTTTATCAAAAGGGCCCAAGTTTCAGCTGCCACCACTCCTGCAGTAACAATGGCGGTGGCTGAGAGCCCTGGGTCCTTTTGAATCACCCGGCCCCAAGGCAACTGTCTCTTTGCTCCGTCTCCCTTCCCCTCGTTGGCAGGTCTGCAGACATGTGAGGCCTAGATAAATCCAGCTACGGGATCCACTGTCAGCTGCCTGAAATAGTATTCTGCCAGGACACACGCCTTTACACCAAGATGTTCTGGGACTATTTTCTAGCCAGCTCTCCTAGTCATTAATGACAAGGGTTGTACGTTCATTCCTCAGCATGAACGTTTTATTGGGACCAGACATTTTTCCCAACAAAACCATTCATCTGTGCAGTGAGTAAAGAGACAATCCAAAAAAGGAAGTTTTTCTTCACACAGTCAACCTGTGGAACTCCTTGCCAGAGGATGTTGTGAAAACTAGGATTTAACAGGGTTCCAAAAAGAACTAGATCAATTCATGGAGGGTAAGTCCATCAATGCTAATTAGCCAGCATGAGTAGGAATGGTGTCCCTAGCCTCTGCTTATCAGAGGTGGGAAATGGGTGACAGGAGAGATCACTTGATGATTATCTGTTCTGTTCTCTCCCTCTGGGGCATCTAGTATTGAACACTGTCAGAAGACAGGATACTGTCTTGGACCTTTGGTCTGACCCAGTATGGCCGTTCTTACATTCTTATCCCCCTCAGCCTTTGGAAACACAAACCTTTCCAAGATGCTGACATCATATGAGAATTTCTCCCCACAGGGCTAAATTTACCTGAGTCATGAATAGGGAAAAAATGCTTCCAGTCAGCTCAGGAACAAGTTTGCAGACATAATGACTCTGGCTGACAGCTGGCGACATGTTCATAGAATTAAAGGCCAGAAAGGATCATCGGGTCTGATTTCTTGTAGAGAACATGCCAGAAAATTTCCCCACAATTATTTCAAAAGGAGATTTTTTACGGAAACGTCCAACCGCGATTTAAAAATTCTCAGTGATGAAGAATCCTCTAATGACTTGATAAATGCTCCAAAAGGGAATTATTCTCACCCTTTGGATCATGTTACATTTGTATGTTACACTGGAATGCCTATTATTAAATGGTTGTTCTCCGTATAGTAGATCAATTTCCCAGGGTTTGATTTAGTAGGTATAGCACGGACCCACTAATTAACTACTGATGGCTTGAGTCCTGAAACATGTGTGTGTACAGGCTTTCCAAAATACTGATTTAGTTGTAGGTATTGTTACAGGATTGTCTCCACTATCCATGTGAAAGTTCAAACCCTTCCCGACTCTTGTTTGAACTCAACTACCTCTTGTGGCAATGAGTTCCTTCAAAAGGGCTACATCTAGACTGGCATGATTTTCCAGAAATGCTTTTAATGGAAAAGTTTTCCGTTAAAAGCATTTTCGGAACAGAGCATCTAGCTTGGCCTGGACGCTTTTCCGCAAAAGCACTTTTTACGGAAAAGCGTCTGTGGCCAATCTAGATGCGCTTTTGCACAAAAAAGCCCCAATCGCCATTTTCGTGATCGGGGCTTTTTTTGTGGAAAACAAATCTCAGCTGTCTACACTGGCCCTATTGCGCCCTGAACGGGAGCAGCATAGTATTTCCGCAAAAAGCACTGATTTCTTACAGTAGGAAGTCAGTGCTTTTGCGGCAATTCAAGCAGCCAGTGTAGACAGCTGGCAAGTTTTTCCGGAAAAGCGGCTGATTTTCTGGAAAAACTGGCCAGTCTATACACAGCCAAGGAGTGAAGAAAGGAATCTTTTTTAAATCTACTTTGAATTTGCCATGTTTCAGTCAATTAAACATCCTTGTGTTACGAGACAGGGAGAACACATTCCCTATCTACTCTCTACCAGTCAGTATTTTAAAGACTTTTCTCATGTCACCTCTTATCAGCTCCATTGTAAGGT